TAGTGGTAGGCTGATAGAGAGAAGTGACAAATTGTAGCCAATCTGGCCTTATCTAGATCTGTGATGCGCGATTTCCCTTGGGCACGGGAAAAACGAGTAACAAGCACTTACACGTGAAACTACAACTAAACTTTACGTTTTTCCCTCGCAGGATTAGAAGCTAGGAACCTGTTGCCGTACGATGTACAGTTTACTTTTAATTTTTTACTCGTCAATCACCGAGCCGCCCAGACCTTTGACTTAACTTTAACTTTAACATAGACCTAATCATGAGTCCTTACAATATGAAAGCCTCATGGGCGCACGCCAGCCTCTTGGTTATCGGGCCATCTGGCGACACCAGACATTTTGCGGACATGCCAAGGTGGCGCAGTTCCTTTGAAATTTCCCCAGGCGACTAAAATTACATTCCAATTATTTTCAAATATTGACCAAAGCCTAAAAATAATAGCATTCTCATAATCAGCGCAACTCAGGGGTATCGGCGAAAAACGACAGAATCAGGCCGAACTCGCTGAGACGTGTGTGAGAAAGGCTGTGCGCTGTATGTCGTGTGTACCTCTGGCAGCCAGTTCGATGGTGGTATGTCGGGACACATTTCTATTAAATGATAAGGATCGTATAGCTCAGACAGTTGGCGGATGGCACTATAAAGGCGTAAGTAAAAAAAAAAAGTAAAGTTGTCCCCGCATCCGATCCGGACATTGGGCTGTCCCCGTCGTTTTATGCAAGAAAAATTCTAAAATTATGCTAAATAAGCCCAAAAAATGTGAAATTATGCGTTTCTGTTAATTTTAAAAAAGAATATTAAAGGAAAATAATCAGAAGTTATGATAAAAAATGATCAAATTTTGCAAAATTATGCGGGGCGCATAAAACCACGGGGAAGACTGGCAATTGTCTTGTTGGTGAGAAACTTTCCTGGGCCTTCGGCATATTGTGGTAGGTAAGGCGCAAGCACTATGTTTATATAGAGGCGTTCCTTTTCGTATATTGGCAAAACCTAGCGGTAAGCGGGACTG